AGGGAAAGAAAGAGAAAAAAGAAAAGAAAAAAGAAAGCCTAACAACCAAAAAACCAGGGTGGGGCCGGGGGCTCAGCGTTGAGCCTGCAGTTCCAGCTACTCTGCCAGAAGCTGGGCAGGAGGATCACTTGAGCCCGAGTTTGAGGCCAGCCTGGACAACATAATGAGACCCCCTTCTCCAAAAAATTGACTACTTGCTTTATTAATTTTGTTATAAAGATGGAGTCTCACTATGTTGCCTAGGCTGGTCTTGAACTCCTGGATTCAAGCAATCCTCCCACCTCAGCCTCCCAAAGTCCTAAGACTGTAGGTGTAAGCCAATGCACAGGGCCTAATTAATTAATTTGTAAAACGGGGAGGGGGTATCCTTGTTTTTTTTGTTTGTTTGTTTTGTTTTGTTTTGTTTGAGACAGAGTCTCACTGTCGCCAGGCTGGAGTGCAGTGGCCCGATCTTGGCTCACTGCAACATCCAACTCCCTGGTTCAAACTATTCTCCTGCCTCAGCCTCTCGAGTAGCTGGAACTTTAGGCCTGCACCACCACCCTCAGCTGATTTTTGTATTTTTAGGAGAGATGGGGTTTCAACATGTTGGCCAGGATGGTCTCAATCTCTTGACCTTGTGATCCGCCCACTTCGGCCTCCCAAAGTGCTGGGATTACAGGCTTGAGCTACCAGGCTCGGCCTGTATCGTTTTTAAGCATGTCTCTGAAGGCATCGGCCTGCTTCCCAGCCCCCTCGCTCCCTGCTGCAGGCCTCTCCTCGGCCTCTCCACTTGTTTACCCAGAGCTGCAGCCGTGAGGGGTTTCCGCTTTGTCACACAGCTCCTTTCCCACTGTACAGGGTCGCAATAAGCTCAGCATGAGAATCCCAAAATAGCACTCAGCACTGTGTGCCAGTGGGCAGTGCTGCGGCAGCCCTCGCCCTTCTTCAGCGGCTGTCTTCAGAGCCATTTGGAAGCATCCCCAAAGAGGTAGCCAAGGTGCTGGCAGCTTCCTGCTGGGCTCTGCTGGGCTGGGCGTGGGTGCTTTCTTCACACCCACACTTCAATGACACCCCATAGGGCGCCATGGCTGCACTGGACCCAAAGCCCCCACTCCTCCCAGGCAGGGAGTCAGTCTACTAGCCGAAGCAGTAACCTTGCCACGGCTTTTTACAGGCTCCAGGCTTGAGAGAGTTTATAATCCCCATTTGTGTAATACTCCTGTGAGGTTTCTTAGTAATCACTGAAGTAAACCTGCTTGTTCCGTGCTGCCAGTGCCCCATGCGGTCCAGAGTCCGCAGCTCATACACCTGCACCCAGGATAATGACATCTCAGCAAGCTGAAAGAAGTCAAAACATCAGACACCTTTGGGATGCTGCAGTGGCTGCTGCAACAGAGGTTTGGGTCCACTCCCTTTCCTGTTTCCAGGTCAGCAGGGAGAAGGCTTTGCTATGGAGCCTCTATAAGCCTGCTCCCTCTAAAGGGTCTCACTGAAAGGTGGAGGAGCTCAAAGCTGTCTTTCAGAAAAGACAGCTTGGAGCTCCTCCGCCTTTCAGATGACAAGGCTGGGGCCAGAGAGGTGAGATAGCTTGACCGTGATCATCACTGAGGCACCACCTACTTTCTGAGAAATGTGCCCTAACTTTGTTTTGTTGGAACTTTATGACGGAAGAGCAATACAACAACACATGAAAGTGGGGAAAGAGGGGAAAAAACCTCCATGCATTACATTATCAGCCTTCAACAGTTCCCACTGTAATCTGAGGAAATTCCCCTTTTTTTTTTTTTTTCCAGATGGAATCTTGCTCTGTTGCCCAGGCTGGAATGCAGTGGTGTGATCTTGGCTCACTGCAACCTCTGCCTCCCAGGTATAAGCTATTCTCCTGCCTTAGCCTCCCAAGCAGCTGGAATTACAGGCACCTGCCACCACGTGCTGCTAATTTTTTGTATTTTTAGTGGAGATGGGGTTTCACCATGTTGGCCAGGCTGGTCTCCAACCCCTGACCTCAAGCGATCTGCCCGCATCGGCCTTCCAAAGTGCAGGGGTTACAGGTGTGAGCTACCATGCCCGGCCAATCTGAGGGAATTCCTGTCCCACATATTAAGAAGTAACTGTCTCTAGCCTCCATCCTACTTATTTAAACCTACCTCTTACAGCATTTACCCACTTCTGCCTTGCATGACAGTTACTGGTGTTCTGGACTTGTTTCCCTTTTTTAATTTATAAGTTCCTTGAAACAGAGACTATCTAGTCTCATTTTTATTTAATCCAACACACATTTATTGAGTAACTACTATGCTAGATACTGAAATACAAGCATGAGTAGGTACAGGTTTCCTCTCTTAAGAAATTCGTAGAGTAGCAGAGAAGACAAATATATACAGGAAGCAAATGTCTGTTGTGGGCCAGACATGTTAGAAAAGGAGGCTCAAAGAGGGAGCAGGTGCCGCCCTACTGGTTGGGCATGGCAGGGGCAATGGCACCGAGGATGATGAGTGGGTGGCAGCAGCTGGACCACATAAGAACAGGCAAGGGAATTTAGCCTTTGTCTTGCAGTCATAGGAGCCACTGGAAGTTCTCATACAGATTGCATTGATTTTTTTTTTTTAAGATCACTCTGGAATACAAATGGAGGGGACAAGAGCAGTGGCTGGGAAATCCGTTTGGAAGTGACTGCTTTAGTCCTGGTGAAAAATAAGGGTCTCAACCAAGGCAGTGCTAGTGGGGATGGAGAGAAACAGGTGGACTTAAGACATATTTAAGAGGTCAACCTGACAAGGTTTAGGGAAAGAGACATTCCCTGGATTGATCCCAGGTACAGATTCCATGAGAAATGGAGGCCAGCCATATGGGTGAGGGTGGCCTTGCCCAGGAATGGATCCTCAAGGTTCACATATGGACTTCTGTATGCATAGCCCCCTGAATTGTACATAAACGAATGTGTGTGCTTAAGAGTGTGTTTCCAGAATCACATTTTACCATTTAACGACCACTGCTGTAGTCACAAAAGGGAAAAGCATCAAGAACAGAACTTTAAGGGGAACACCAACACCTAGGGAACTGCACAAGAGAGCTGGCTTGACGTTGACATTAGTGCGTCATTTGTATAATTTCCTCATTGTCGAATTACAGATAAAATTTGATAGATTTTTCTCTCAGGTTTAACTACTAACATTATCAATCACAGATCAATTGAATCCTGGGTCTTATTCTTAGATCTTTCCAAGATCTTTCTAATCACTCAACACCGTAGCCTTCCAGCTCCTGGGACTTGAGAGCCTTTTCTGGAGGAAATTCTTTCTGGGAGCCTTTCCTCTTTTGCCAGGTGTCCCTCCTCTTGATAGGCTATTAGAGCTTACTAAGGAATGGCCTTAGAGTTTCCATTTTGAGATTTAAGATCGGCTAAAGGATTTGTTCTCATATTCCATGGTCTGGAGATGGGGGAAGGGTGAGTGAGAAAGAGAAGGATGTTAAGAGTGGGGACAGGCAGTGAGAGGCAAAATGCCAGTCAAGACACACGCCTGCCGTACCAAAACATCTTATGTGCCCCGTAAATATACACACCTACTATGTATCTACAAACATGAAAATAAAACAATTTAAATTTAAACTTAAAAAAGAATTTGTAAAGTCACAATAAATATGTTCAACTAAATATGGAGGGAAGAAGAAGATGAATGCCTGAATATCTTCTCCCAGTGCTATGCTCCCTCTCTCCCCAGACTGCCATTGTGTCTGTGGTTTTTCTTCTAGAAAAGACATCACTTCTACTCTCACTTCTTCAGGTAATTAGCTGCATCTACATCTTTAAAGTCCTTTGAGCGGCTTGCGGTTGCCCTTAGCAACAGCTGCACACACAGGTTTTGCAGGCTGTTTCTGACCTAACCGTGGGATCAAAGTCTTTCAAGGTGGCACACGATCAGAGCGCAGCCCTCTCTCTGATGTCTGGATATTGTCTGCAACCTCCCTGCTGTTCCATCCATGCTCCGTCTCACCCTCACCCCCACCCACACCATGCACAGACCATTTTCACTGTTAGAAAGTTCTTCATTAGGCCAGGCATGGAGGCTCATGCCTGTAATCCCAGCACTTTGGGAGGCTGAGGCGGGTAAATCAGAAGCTCGAGAGCTTGAGACCAGCCTGGCCAATATGGTTAAACCGGGTCTCTACTAAAAATACAAAAATTAGCTGGGTGTTGTGGTGGGCGCCTGTGATCTCAGCTACTTGGTAGGCTGAGGCAGGAGAATCATTTGAACCTGGGAGGCGGACGTTGCAGTGAGCCGAGATCCACGCCATTGCATTCCAGCCTGGGAGACAGGGCAGACTCTCTCTCAAAAATAAAAGAAAGTTCTTCATTAGCCTGAGCCAAACTCTTCTTCCCTAGAACTTAACACACACTGGTGGAACAATTTCTACAAAGGGTCAGTTTGCCCCAAAACACTTAGAATTTAGAATTCTATTATCACTTAGAATTTTTTTCTTTTGTTATTTGCTCTGAGGTATTTGTGCAGGATGGGAGGGAGGAGGAATTGAGATTAACTTTTATTTTGAATTTATTAATCTTTGTACTAATTATTCCATGTTAACTATAAACAAACCTAAAAATGCAGATAGGGTGATAGAAGAAAATGGATTTTCCTATAATCCCACCATCCAGAGAGAATGACTGATAATATTTTGGTCTATGCCTTCCAGACTTTATTCCGTGATACAGAAATCGGACTATGCTATACGCACTGTTTTGAAATCTGTTTTTTAAGTTTAACATCTACTGTAAACTTTTCCTGTATGAGTACATATGCTACTTATTTATCTGTATTAATTTATTCTTATACATATAATGTTAGTTTGTATTCTCATTTTTGCAGCTGAGTTATATTTCTTCAAATGAATTGAAGCAGGTTTTGAAAATGCATTTTGCTGGGAGGAAGCCAGGTTTGGATGCATTTCATTATCAGCCCCATTCTGTGGCAGCTCAGTGCCTTATAGTAGCCCTCCACGGGCGACCCCGTCAGGGACACTGGTGGGGTGCCACACCAGCTGAGTATCAGGCCCATGGTGGTTACCTAGGCTCCTTGTGCCTATGATACAACTGATTTATAATCTGGTGGCAGGTCTGCCTTCCCTCCCCAGTGACAGCTTCTGCCTCACCTGCTGATTTATTGCATAACTGTCCCCAGAAGGGCCAGTCACATTTCCCAACAGGCTGGGAAGGTAATTCTCAAATACCAAGTCCGCAGCACTGAGACCCCTTGGGTTTCTCTTTGAAATTCTCCAGTTGGTGCAACATTGAACCACTTACTTCTCTGTCTGGTAGTAGAGCATCCCTCGTTGGAAGTAAGCTACTGCCAAGTGCTTGTCTCGGTTAATGCTTCTGGAAAAGGCCTGCGGAGAGAAGGGATCAGCCATGGCCATGAAGCGGGGCAGTGAGGAAGTGTGAGATGAGCCACAGCTAACAGAGCCCTAGCCCCCTGCGGTGCTCGGCTCTCCTGTCTTCCCTCCTCAGCATCTCAAGGCCAACCCTGTGCTCTCACGGTGCACCTCACTCTCCTCTCACTTTTACGAACTCGAGTCTGGGACAACAGCAGGCATTCCTTGTATCGTCATTTCAGTTCTGCTGTGGATCTACGAAATATTCCTGGAGCCATACCTATACCATCTGATTTCCTCTTTTCTTAGTCATATATGGCTTAGAAAAGCTACACAAGAATCCAATAACGGCCGGTTGTGGTTGCTCACGCCTGTAATCCCAGCACTTTAGGAGGCCAAGGCAGGTGGATCACTTGAGCCCAGGAGTTCAAGACCAACCTGGACAATATAGTGAGACCCCCATCTCTACGAAAAATTAAAAAATTAGTCAGGTGTGGTGGCGCATGCCTGTGGTCCCAGCTACTTGGGGGACTGAGGTGGTTGGATCGCTCAAGCCCAGGATGTGGAGACTGCCATGAGCTGTGACGGTACCACTGCACTCCAGCCTGGGCGACAAAGTGAGGCACCCTGTCTCAAAATAAAAAATCCAATGATAGGCCGGGCGCGGTGGCTCAAGCCTGTAATCCCAGCACTTTGGGAGGCCGAGGCGGGTGGATCACGAGGTCAAGAGATCAAGACCATCCTGGTCAACATGGTGAAACCCCGTCTCTATTAAAAATACAAAAAATTACCTGGGCATGGTGGCGCGTGCCTGTAATCCCAGCTACTCAGGAAGCTGAGGCAGGAGAATTGCCTGAACCCAGGAGGCGGAGGTTGCGGTGAGCCGAGATCGCGCCATTGCACTCCAGCCTGGGTAACAAGAGCGAAACTCCGTCTCAAAAAAAAAAAAAAAAAAAAAAATCCAATGATACAAATAAAGACAAAGTAGACTATGAGAGTGCAGATGTGAATGGATTATCACCAACAGAAATCTTAGATTAGAAGAAAGACTAAAGCAATTTTCCCAAAGGATCTCATCATTTTAAAAATGGACCTGATGCTATGAAGCACCTTCTTTGTAATTGTCTCTGAACTTCTTTTCTGAGACTAGCATTCAGAATGGATAGTCTAGACATTTGCCTGATACTAATCAGAAAAATACATATCCATATTTAAAATATAGTTATATTTAATGACCTCATTTCTGAGTTCCTTTTTCTTTCTTTTTTTTTTTTTTTTTTTGAGACGGAGTTTCGCTCTTGTTACCCAGGCTGGAGTACAATGGCGCGATCTCGGCTCACCGCAACCTCTGCCTCCTGGGTTCAGGCAATTCTCCTGCCTCAGCCTCCTGAGTCGCTGGGATTGGCACGCGCCACCATGCCCAGCTAATTTTTTGTATTTTTAGTAGAGATGGGGTTTCACCATGTTGACCAGGATGGTCTCGATCTCTTGACCTCGTGATCCACCCGCCTCGGCCTCCCAAAGTGCTGGGATTACAGGCTTGAGCCACCGCGCCCGGCCCTGAGTTCCTTTTTCATTAGTGTATCTTTCATTTCTACTACTGCTGTTTTAATAACATAATTAGATAGAAGCTTTGAGCCAGTAGGCACAAAGTTCCTAAATCAGTACTTTAAAATCTTTGGTCCTCTATCTTTCATTCATATGAATTTGACCGCTATTCGCTCTAATTTCTTTGGGTTCTTGGAGTTTGAGCAGAGTACAATTTTACTGTGAAACAACGCAGCGAGACTGTGCTGTGAAGCGAAGGTAGCGTTTTTGGAGGTGATAAGGATGTGAAACAAAGATATAGTTCCTATCCAACACAACGGAGTAGCTTGTCCAGGAGAGTAGTAATTACGATTTATTGCTCTGTGGAAGATAAAAAAAGATAGGAAAATAAGAGAAACTTCTTTGAAAAATGAAACTTAGCCAGGCGTCATGGTGCATGCATGTAATCCCAGCTATTCGGGAGGCTGAGGCAGGAGAATCACTTGAACCCAGTAGGCAGACGTTGCAGTGAGCTGAGATTGCACCACTGCATTCCAGCCTGGGCGACAGAGTGAGACTGTCTCTTAAAAAAAAAGAAAAACGAAACATCTTTTACATAAATATCTAATGGAATTATGAAATGCTAACCCTTGTTGCATTTCTTTTAGTCCTATGAATATATTAAACATTCAGTTTAAATAAAAAATAAAATTTACTGCAAATGAAAATAATTAAGATGTTATATAAATTATTACATTCGTTTACTAGACACACTTATTACATGAATAGTATACAATTAAAATGACAAGTAAGAATGCATATAAAATGCTACTAGGAAGGGTTCAAGTAGGTAGACAAAAGCAGAGGGAATGAGAAGGCTAGAAGCAGAGGAATGCCAGGAGAAGCAGAGCCCTGTGAGCGTGAAGGCCTGGGAGCTGAGAGGTGAGTGGTGGCCCACACAGCCTTGCCAAGGGTCCCACAGGCCAAGGCAGGAGGCTACAGTGCCTGCTGGCATAGCTGTGCCAGACTAGCTGCCAATCTCTTCTCCCAGACAATGAGCACTTTGTGTGCATCAGCCCTCAGAATGTGTGGTGCTGTTCACTCAGCCTCCCAGCAGGTCCCAGAGAGGAGGTGGGGCCACTGTCCTCCCTCCAGCCAGAGGTGGAGAGCCCTGGCAGGCTCTGCCCTGGAGCCTGAGATTGGCTAGCCAAACTGTGTGAGGGCACTTCAGTCACTCCTCTGTCTTCCTGTTAGGAGGCTGTGGCTGAGGCTTGTTTACCTGCTGTCAAGAGCGTGGGAGCAACTAGTTCTTTGACGGACCTGGGGATTCAGCCAACTGTCCACACATCCACACCTGGCAAAGACTGGCAGTAAAGGGTAAAAATATTAACTAACTTTTAAACAGTGGTGTGCAGTTCCACAGGACATTAACAGTTTCGTGTCTCACTTAATTTCCATGATATTTAGAAATGCAGGAAGCTGAAAGCCAGACACTTGCATAGGCTACCTAGCTTGCTTAAGACAAAGTCCAGAGCAAGGCAGAGGACCTGCTTGCCAGCCTCAGCATCCTTAATAGAGTCTCCTGCATAATTGATCAGAATTGTCACTTGGGATAAAATCTATTTTTAGTAAGTGCCTCCCTTAAATCTCTTGAGCAGGCGAAGTTGACACACATGAAAGTCTTGGAAAGCCAAAAGAGGTGGCTTACAATCAATAATGAGGTGTAAAGCCATGCGACAGATAGAGATTCTGTGCCCAGAAGGAGTTCTGTGTAGAAGAAAATATGACGAGGGCAGCCTTCACAAAGGCGTTAAAGACACTTGCGGAATGATTTGAATTTAGAAGATGGAGAAAGAGGCAACCTTGGCTGCCCCTCAGAACACCCTGAGAGCTTTAAAACTGGCCACCTGGGGCCCCTCCCAGACCAGTTAAATCAGGCTCTCTAGGGGTGGAGCTTAGGGAACTTTTGTTCTTTTCAATCTCCCCAGAGGTTAGGTTTCTGAAATGCCACGGGGTTGCGAATCATAATAACAAATGCACACAGGAGGCCCGGAAAGAGGCACCTCCACTCACCTTCTCGGCTTCAGTCATGTTTTTCAGGATGGTGTGCATGCAGCCGATGTTGAAGCAAATCCGGGAGTGGGGGTCCTGGACTGCACTGAAGGCGTCTAGGGCTCCTTTCCAGTCCTTCTTGTCAGCTGCCAGCACCCCTTCATTCCAGAGGCTGATGGCCTCCGCCAGGGACATGATCAGGTAGAAACCAGAAGGCCAAGAGAGCTGCCAGGAGACACGGAGAGGACAGGTTGGGGCGTCTCCCCCAACAGTGCTGCCCTAGTGGCCCCCAAGGTGTTTACTTTCTGGGCCAGATGAGTAGAATGGGGCTCAGCCTCCCTTAAGATAACTTCTCAGTGTTGCAAATGTATCAGGAAATGTCCCCACCTTTTGGCAACTGACTCATAACCCTACCATGAGAGAGAAAAGGAAAGAAGCAGAGAGAGGGGGCGAGTGGGGGCGGAGTGTGGAGGAGAGAGGAAGTACATCAGATGCTGCCTGAAGGATCAGTTCCCCAAAATGCTTCTGCTCTGTCACCCAGCTCCTCCTCCCTCTCCCGCCCCTGTTTTGTGGCAGCTTCTGGCCAAAGCTCTGCTTCTAGAGCCAGGCCAACCTTGGCAGGTCGAGGCACTCTCCTGGTTATAGTGACAGGAAGCAGCCAAATGCCTAGGCATATAGGGGCAGGTCCCTGGCGAAACCCCACCTTCAAGCCAAAACAGCCTGAAGGCTGAAAGACTAGACTGCTGGTCCCAGATGAAACCCATGACCCAGAGTGAGAACTTTTGTTCCTGTTTGTCTGCCCTTTCCCAATTGATTCTTTCTGAATAATGCCTTTTCATCAATTGAATGTTGCCTTTTTCAGTACTACCTATGACCTGCCCCTCCCCTATTCTGAGCCCATAAAAGTCCCAGACTCAGCCACATTGGGGGGACTTTCCTACCTTTGAGTAGGGGAACCTCCCTGCATCCCCTTTCCACTGAAAGCCGTTTCATCACTCAATAAAACTTCCCACCTGGCTGAGTGGGCAGGCCATCTCCTGCAGTAGGTTGTGTGGCCCATTGAGGCCTGGGCAGGGCGTCACCAGCCAGAAGTCCCTGGCTTACAAAGCAACTGAAAAATAATCCTGTGTCACGGGGTCTTAATTTCCACACCCTTGCTAAATGGCAGTGGTGGACAAGAGGATAATTCTTTCCAGTCTTGAATGAATTCCTTGCTCACTTTTTCATAATCCCATAGCTGTGTTAATGTTAGTTTTTATCTTGAGCTGAAATTGTCATTAACAAATTTTTGAAACAAGATAGTCTTTGGATGAGCTGAAATTGTCATTAACAAATTTTTGAGACAAGATAGTCTTTGGATGCCCATCTGGGCCTCAAATAACTTTTTTTTTTTTTTTTTGAGACAGAGTTTCACTCTTAATCTCAGCTCACTGCAACCTCCACCTCCTGGGTTCAAGTGATTCTCCTGCCTCAGCCTCCTAAGTAGCTGGGATTACAGGTGCCTGCCACCATGCCCAGCTAATTTTTGTAGTTTTAGTAGAGACAGGATTTCACCAAGCTGGACAGGCTGGTCTCAAACTCTTGACCTCAGGAGATTCACCTGCCTTGGCCTCCCAAAGTGTTGGGATTATAGGCGTGAGCCACTGCACCTGGCCAAAATAACAGTCCAATACAAACTCTGCTATTTACTTCATTTCCTGCATCTGTGCTAATTAGACTCATCGTGCTAATTCCTTTTTCTAGGCTGCCTTCTCGCATGTCTGCACCTTTAAACCCACCTTGCACAACCTTCGAAAGCATGCTAAAATACCACCTTCCTTAACATACTGCCCTGAAATCCGTCCTGCCTGAAAGCTCTCAAACCCATGATCTTGCCTTTTGAACACCCAGGAAGTTCAGAGGGGACCAATTTCCTGCAAATGTCAAAATTGGGAGCCAGATATGACAGTGAATTATGACTTCTCCCATCCTCCTGTGAAAAACTGAAGAGATGAAGGTCCTGCATTGATGACTAATGAATTTACTAGTCTCTGAAAAAACAGATTTAAGAGTTCTTTCCTTGCTTTCCTGGAAAACCAAAAACCAGTAAAACCTCCCAGAGGAATAACTGTGGGTAAAGGGTATAGCCAATTTAGGTTACTAAAATCCTGGCTTCTTTTTAGGTAAAATGCATGTTTATAGGGGTCAAATACTTAGATGCAAACTCATATAGCTACTGAAAGAACTCACTCATTATCACCAAGCTTCCCCTAAAAGCCTGAAAATAAAACTTAAAAATGTATACATCACAATGCTTGTAGGATTGAAAGTGTGAGAATTAAGAAGACGTGTGTCTTGGCACAGATTGTTTTCCTGTGTTTATAAGGCCTTCCCAGCTTATTTCTTTGCCTGGCAAACTCCTACTCATCCTTCAAAGCCCGGTTTAAATGTCACCAACTCTGTTAAATCTAGCCCCCAACTCCAGATAATAGGAGGATTTTTCCCTTCTTTGTACCACCTCTACCGAAACAGTCGCATCATACTTATTGCAATGTACCTCTTCATGGTAAATTGGGACCACGCCTTTTCATTCTAGGATCTCTGGCACTGATACTCAATACATGATGAAGGGATGCATTCTAAAAGAAATTAGAAATCATTGGTAAGTGACCTGCAGATAGCAGTGATGCCAGAAAGAGGTATTGCTATTCCATCTAGTGAATAATCAGGACTTGAATAGCACGTTAATTATTCCTGAGAAAACCAAGTGAATTTGTAGCTGTTAGACTTTTTTAAAATGTTTTTGCTTTCTTATTATCCTACCCTGACACGCAGAAATCTCCTTAGTCTGACCGCCAAGGCTTTTCTAGCCCTAGCCCCAGAACTTACCTTCACAGTCCCATACACACTCTGCTATTTACTTCATTTCCTGCATCTGTGCTCATTAGGCTCGTCGTGCTAATTCCTTTTTCTAGGCTGCCTTCTCCCATGTCTGCACCTTTAAACCCACCTTGCACAACCTTCGAAAGCATGCTAAAATACCACCTTCCTTAACACACTGCCCTGAAATCCGTCCTGCCTGAAAGCTCTCAAACCCATGATCTTGCCTTTTGAACTCCTGCATCTCCTTCTCTGCACCTCCCACGTGGCCCTGAATCTATGTGCATGCAAGTCTTAGCCCCTCAAATAGTCAGTGTGCCTTGGGAGGAAGTCCTGGGCTAACACATGTTTGTATCCCCAGGGCACTAGCAAAGCCAGTCATGCTCATCTCCATCCACTTTCCATCCCTGTCTTCTGTCACCACCCAGGCCAAGCCACCATCAGCTCCCGGGTGAACATTATAGTCTCCTAACATTTCTTTGCTTCTCCATCCAGATTGAGCTTTTAAAAACACAAGTCAGATGACTTCATGCCCCCATCTTTAACTCTTCTGTGCCTTGCACTGCTGTCAGGATGTAACCCGAGCTCCTTCCCATGGTGCAGGAAGCCCTCTGCCTGCTGCCCTGGGGTCATTCCATGTCATTTCCCCTCCTTCCCTCCCAGGAACTCCAGCTACACAGGCCTCTTTTCATGGTCTCAGATGACCCAGCCTCTTCCCTCTGCCTGTAACACTCTTCCCCCAAGACTGCCTGGCCAGTTCCTACTCATTTTTCACTTCCTCAGAGTGGCCTTTCTGAATCCACGACCTTGCTATGTGCATGGTTCTCTCTGATCACGTATTTGCCACAGTTTGTAATTATATGTCATCTGTGACATTGTTTCTGTCCCTCAATGTAGGGGCGGTCTATTTAATCATTACTTGATGCAACTGTTCAGCCACTGTTCATTCGCCTTCCTCCTTTTAGTAGAACCCCAGTTCTGTTCAAGCCTCCAGTTTCCTGAAGCCATGAGAAGAAACAGTACTTGTTTCTCTACTAGACAGCATTGTGAGATGTGTCTGGAACATGACATGGCAGCTGTCTTGTGACCATGAGGAGAGACAGCTAAGAACAAGCCGCTGTCTGAAGGAAAAGAGAATGAAAAAATAAAAAGCTCAGACTCTTAATTATGTTGGTGAGCTGTGTTGCATCATCTGTTTTCTGCAAATCTGGCTTGGCACAGTGGCTCACATCTGTGATCACAGCACTTTGGGAAGCTGATGTAGGAAGATCCCTTGAGGTCAGGAGTTTGATATCAGCCTGGACAACAAAGCCAGACTCCATCTCTACAGAAAAAACTAAAAATTAGCCAGACATGGTGACACATGCCTGTAGCCCCAGCTACTAAGGAGGCTGAGGTGGGAGGATTGTTTGAGCTCAGGAGTTCAAAGGCTGCAGTGAGCGATGATCATGCCACTGCATTTCAGCCTGGGTGACAGAGCAAGACTCCATCTCTAAAAAGATAAAAATAACATTTTCTACAAATTTGAAGCTAATCTACCTTGGAATTTCTTGTTTGGTTAGATAATAAGTTTGTTTATTGTTTAAGTCATTCGAATCTAATTTTCTGTTAGTTATGGTTTAAAACGTTCTCACACACACCACTGGATTCTTGGTACCTAGTACAGGGCTTGGAGTATAGCAGGTGTTCAATAAAAATTACTCGTTAAATAAAACTTGTTGAGAAATTGGTTGGGTAACTCAGTTTCATCTTCATGTTTTCAAAATTAGTCCAAAATCCTGAATAAGCAGGATTTGCATATGATTGGTTAACAGATTACAAACTACTGTTGTATGTATTTATTCAGCTGGAAGCTTAAGAACATTCCCAAGACCCTCCTTTTTTTTCTGAGGAAGAAGCCTGTAGAATCAAAATAAAATTCATTATTGCTGGGCACTCAGGAAATACCTCCTCTTTCCTACTCTTAGAGTTTGGTGTTCTATCGCTCTTTAACTTTTTCTGGTACGTGAGGCTTCTTTCTTAAACTCCTCAAAGGATAGAACCATCTTGCGACTGTCCTTCAGTCTTTCACCATGTTTAGCATAGCCCCAGGGATGTCGTAGGTGCTCTGTAATCATTGGCTAACTAATTAAATGAACTGAAAAATGAGAAAATTAAATCCTACTTGGAAAAATATAATTTTGTAAAGTTTGTCAGTATCATGTTAGTTGCATAAAGTGAGGTACATTTAGACTAGTAGGGAAAAGAACACACTTTTTTGTCCTCAAACCTAACATTGAATGGATAGTTTTATTGAGTACAAGACAAGAAACCTTCAGGAGGTAGGCAGGAGACCTCATTTATTAGATATAAACCTGGCCTGGATT